GACAAACAGCATCGACAATTTAGAAACGGCAAACAGAAAAGGATCATCATTCGAACAATTAACAGTGGATCTATTTTTGGGAAAACAAGTATAAAAAAACCAACAATTATCCGACTACTGTTTTGGTTAGATAACGGTATGTGCTTTTTTGGAACCAATGAATTGCACAATAAACGATGGCTTTTGTATAACACAGAGAACTTTTTACGTTAAATGAAACGCTCTCACATCAATTTCTAGTTATTTCAATCAGCTGTGGTGATTTAGATTACGTGCTGCTTTTTTTGCCATTCGATGAATAATAGTGTGACTAAACAAAAATACTGAAATTCCATTTAGATAACATTTTCAACTCATTCACGGTGTTTCACTCTCTCTCTCTCTCTCTCTCTCTCTCTCTCTCTCTCTCTGTCGCAATTTACTATGCTCGTTTTTCGGCTATTTTTCAATCATTTCACTTTCATTAAATGGTGTGTGGCTTTTGTTACTTTGCCTCCATGACATTAATGGCTGTTTATGTGCCAAAAAGGAATATGAACAACAACATCAACAGAGAATGAAAAAAACGACAAACACAAACGTTGAATGAAATGCCAGAGAGAAACAAAGTGAATAAAGAATTGTGAATTAAAATATCTCTGATTTCTGTCCGCTGGATCCATTTGTTTCTTTGTGTTTTTTTTTTGGTTCGCAACGTCTCAAGTGTTCTGTTTCGCATCGTGTTGAGAATTCAAATTCACTTTCGAGAAACTTTCAATTTCATACAATTCGTCCCACTTCCTTTCTCGGGCACAGAGAGTTAGTCAACCGACTCACTTGCGAAATGGAGAGAAGAAAAAAAAACGGCAGCTCGGTTCTCATAGACTACAAATAGTTTAACCTCCGCATGACTTACTATTGTATGGTGACAAATTGAGACCAATTTTCGGTAATAATTTCGGTTCAATGTCGATTGTTTTAATGGGTGCGAGAAGATTTATCAGCACAATTTGTTGGTCAATTAATGTGTTTTTATTTTGACAATCAAATATTTTAAATTGCATGCAAATTCCACACCGAATATTCTCCATTCCGCTGGCAGATTGAAGCAGTAAAAACAGAATCAACGCAGCGTAGCGTGTGTGTAATTCGTTTTATCTGTCAAAATAGTAATTTTCCACGTTTTTTGTTTAATTTATAAATATATGTGTTTTGTTTTGATTGTCCCTATTCGATTCGATCAATCGATTTCAATTGGAATGGAAAATATTTTCGATTTGAGTTGGGCCACTTTAAATCTCCAGATTTGGTCTACTGATTTACATTTGATCAATTATATCATTATATCACAAACACGAGATAAAATAGTTTAAAATTACCATCAACTGATAGAGATGATGAGCGTGAGGCATCTGATTTGTTTGTTTACTATTGATTTATGCCTTCCATTCAATGGGCCATTTATACAATGATTTTATAACTTATTGGACACCAATCGTGAGATAGATGACCAATTTGGTGCGTTTCCTTCGATTCATATGTTGTTTATCATTTTAAATCGATTGACGGAGCGTGTGCAAAACGATGTGAAAATTATAATCATAGACTAAATCAATTTCAAGGC